TTGAAAGAAAGATTATATTTAAATTTTAAAAACACTTCCTAATTTATCATTATTGTGTGTTGAGTCGTTAGGGCATGTGTGGGTAGATCAGAGGACCACAGTGGGATTGGGTTCTTCTATGCTGTGTGTGCCCGGGTGGAGCTCAGGTCATCAAGGTTGGCAGCAAATGCCTTGGCCTGATGAGCCTTCACATCAGCCTGGTGCACCTTTTTAAAATTTAAATTAGAAACAAGCTTCATTTACATGTCAGTCCCAGTTCCCTCACCCTCCCATCTTCCCCTGCCCCCCACTGGCCCCCATCCCATCCTCTATCTGTTCCCCAGGGGAGGGTGAGGCCTTCCATGGAGGATCTTCAAAGTCTGTCATATCATTTGGAGCAGGGTCTAGACCCTCCTCAGTGTGTTTAGGCTGAGAGAGTATCCCTCTGTGTGGAGTGGGCTGCCAAAGTCCATTTGTGTTCTAGGGATCAATACTGATCCACTACCAGAGGCCTTCCGTACCTCTTTGTTGCTTGTGCTTTTGATCTTACATCCGGGATGTGAGAACTAATGCCAGGAAATGTCTCCATTGTTCTCCCAAGAGTTCTGTAGTTTTTGGTCTTTAATACATTTGAGATGGTTGGTTTTGTTTTGTTTTGTTTCATTGTAGGGCCTTTCACATGTTTAATATATGCCCTACCATTGAGCTACATTCCTAGATTGAGTTTAATTTTTGTAAATGGCATAAAGGTCTGTCTTCATTCTTTCTTTTCCCAGCATCATTTATTAAGAAGTCTAACCACTGACCCCTCCCCCCACATGGTTTCCGTGTCATCATTAAAAAAAATTATTTGATCATATACACAAGGCTACTTCTGTGTTTTTCAGTCTGTTTCATTGGTCTGTCTTTATGCCAGTACCACCATCATCTTGATTGCTGTTGTTTTGTGGCAAGCAACTGCACTGTTTTCCCAAGCTATATATAAAATAGTCCCAATGATTAACAGATAGTTAAAATAAAAATGAAAAAGTAGAAGCTGGGGAGAAGGCTTAGGATCAGAGCACTTGCTATGCAAAGCATGAGGACCTAAGTTTGAATTCCTTACACTCATTTAAAAACTGGATGTGTGCATGCCTGGAATCCCAGCTCTGTGGGGTGGAGTAAGGAGGCTTGCTGACAGCCAGCCTAGCTTTGGGCTCAGTGAAAGACCCTGCTCCAAGGGGTGGGGCAGAGAATGAACCGACAGAGCAGCATAGTGATGTCACCTCTGAACCCACATATACACATGCCTGCATATATTCCCCCATGCACACACACACTCTCATAAGCACAAAAAATAACCTGCATGTATATCTCTATGTAGCCTGATGTGTGTTTGAGTTAATGTGCTAAAAAACTGGCATCTTAGCTAAAGCATATAGGACACCATCCCTGTATATAAATACAAAAATACTGTCAGTTTTCCAAATATACAAGAAGCAGGTAGCTTGTTTTCTTGTGAAGTTAAGGAAACTTCTAGGTTTGGAAAACTTTGTATTCTTTCAAGTTATATTTGGAAATAACTATTTCTGAAAGTGTAAAATTTTTACAGTTTATTAGCATGTTAACTATATTACTATGGACTTCGTTGTGACATTTTTCACTCATGTGTGTAATGTGTTTTGATCCCGTTTTTTCAGAACTCACTGGTGTTACTGTCTTGCTGCTGATCCTCCTTGTTTTAACATGTATCGTTGTTTGTGTGCTTAAATGCATACATCACACATAGGCCAAAGGAGGACATCAGAGTCCCTGTAACTTGTTACAGATGGTTGTGAGCTACCATGTAGGTGCTGAGAATTGAATCCAGGGACTGCATTGCTCTTAACTGCAGTTGTCTCTCCAGCCCTTTCTTCATCTTTTTTACTAGTCTGTCTTCTGCTTTAAAATGTTTTAAACATAGTGAGTTTAAGTAGGGTTGCTTACAGCAGCCTGGGAACCTTACCAGTGACTACACCAATGGAGGAAATGTCCCTCCTACTCTCAGGAATCATTAAACTGTCTGTAAATCCTCAGAGAGGGTTGGGGACTCATAAGTCCCTGTTCACCCTATGATGAATGTTGACAGGTCCAGTCTTGTGCAGGTAGTCATAGCTGCTATAAGTCTCTGCAGTCAGCACTGCTGATTGACCAAAGTTGATATCTACATTCATCAGTGGACATAGACAAAATGGTTTAGAAGGCAGATTGACAGGTCTGTCATGTCTCTTTAACAAAACAACAGCATTATCTTTCCTACTAGGGACTACAACCTCTTCAGCCATAGGCTTTTGACCAGATTTATAGTATTGTGAGTGAATTTCTTCCTATGGAGTGGGTCTCAGTTCCCATCAGAATGTGGTTGGTTACCTCCATAACAGACTTGTTACTGTTGGACATCTCTCCTGGCAGGTTGGTAGTCCACAGCTAAGACCATTGATAATTGCTTCCCCTAGCAGCCTGCTTGGTCCCTATGGGAACTTCTGTGAGATAGCTGGCAGGCAGAAAGTGTCCAGTTCAGTTGGACCAGCTTCATTTTTCTGTTACCTTCTACAGTAAAGTCTTGCCATCTAGCACTGGTGGGCACTCTACAGTGGCAGTTACTTATATTTGGGGGTTTCCTTGACCAGTAGCTCATAGGAAGGTAGTCTACCTGGCAGTGTGATTTTCATTTAAGTACCTATGGCTTCTGGGAATTGTTATAAATGCTAACTTTACATGACCTTTATGAGTTCAGTTGTATAGCAGGAAAGTCTTAGAAGCCAAAGCAATGTTTCAGATTTTACTCTGAGAGAAAATAGGTTTCAACAGGAAAGTGAATGTTCTGGGTTATGTTCTAATAATGCTCAAGTGGCTGCGATCATATCCTAGGTATATTTTGAAGTAAAAATAAGATGATTTGCATATGTATGTGCAATATATATATTATTTTTATTTATTTTTGAGTCAGGGTGTTACGATAAATCTTTCCGCCCAAAGCTGCCGACTCCCATCGCCAGGTGTGTGCTCTACGATAGCCGCCCACCCGAGTTAGGGCCCAAATTAATACTATAAACTTGTATTATGTTCAAATGCTGCTTGGCCAATGACTAAGATCTCTCATCTGCTAGCTCAGTCTTAATTATCATAAATCTATACATTTTATAAGACATCTTATCGGACACCTTCCATTGGTGTCCCTCCTTGCCGGTGGATCACATTGTGCCACTGGAGGAAGAGTGGAGGGGAAAAGGGGGCCACTTGCTGTTTCTCCTTGCTTAAATATGAATCTCCTTGCTATGTCACTTCCTGCCTGGATCACCACTTCTCTATTACGTTTCCCAGAATCCTATTTGACTCCTACTCCTGTCTAACTTGCTACCTCATTGGACAAACAGTACTTTATTCAACAATAAGATAAACATACACAGAAGTACATTCCCCATCAACGGGGTCTTAGTGTGTAATCTTGAGTGACCTGGAACTTGCTATGCAGACATAACTGGCCTTTAAACTCACCAGAGATTCACCTGCTTCTGTTGCCAGAGTACTGGGGTTGTGGGGTTGAAGGCATATACCACCATGGCTGGTTAATTAACCAAATTAAGAAACAAAGCAAAACAAAAACAGAACAACCAGGATTTTGTGTTTAGCAAATAGAAAGAGTAACTATTAACTACAATGGAAAACATTATGGGAGAAATGAACAAAGGTTGGGTAGAAACTTGGTTTCGGATTGCTTTGAGAATCAGGTGCTTACAAGAGAATGAAGGGGAGAGAGTGTCAGGTGATAGTCTGGACTTGGAGCAGAGGCCCAGCTGCAGAGTGGGAGCAGACAGCAGCTGAGTGATGGAAACAGGGCTGCCTTAAGACAGAGCAGACCCCCACGCATATCTGGGATTCAGGAAAACAGACCCATAGAGCAGTGACTAGTACCATTTGAAGAAAGTTGGGGACAGGATTCCTGGAAGCCAGAGAACATTCACTTGCTGGACCCACTTCTTCCTGTACAAACAGTCTCCTGTATAGGACTCCAGAGTCACCTTCACACAGACAGACATAACCATGCTACTCAATGTGACAGCACATATTAAACATTTAAAAACTGAGCATAGTACTTGCTACTTAACCACTTACTTAGCAATAGCAACCACACCCGTCTAAAAAAGGAACTTTTTTTTTTTTTTCAAGACAGGGTTTCTCTGTGTAGCTTTGGAGCCTATCCTGGCACTCGCTCTGGAGACCAGGCTGGTCTCCAACTCACAAGAAATCCGCATGCCTCTGCCTCCCGAGTGCTGGGATTAAAGGCATGTGCCACCAACACCCGGCAAAAAGGAACTTCTTAATAGATAGATGTACTCGGTTTGTTGCAAGATTTCCCTCGAAGATGGCGCTGAAAGCGAAGAAGGAAGCTCCTGTCCCTCCCAAAGCCAAAGCCAAAGCAAAGGCCTTGAAAGCCAAGAAGACAGTGCTGAAAGGCGTCCACAGCCACAAAAAGATGATCCGCACGTCACCCACCTTCCGGCGGCCCAAGACCCTGCGGCTCCGGGGGCAGCCCAAATACCCGCGAAAGAGCGCGCCAAGGAGAAACAAGCTTGACCACTATGCCATTATCAAATTCCCCCGACCACTGAGTCAGCCATGAAGAAGATAGAAGACAACAACACACTTGTGTTCATTGTGGACTTCAAGGCCAACAAGCACCAGATCAAACAGGCTGTGAAGAAGCTCTATGACATTGATATGGCCAAAGTCAACACCCTCATAAGGCCTGACGGAGAGAAGAAGGCATACGTTCGCTTGGCTCCTGATTATGATGCTCTGGATGTTGCCAACAAAATTGGGATCATCTAAACTGAGTCCAGCGGGCTAATACCAAATATACTCTTTTTCACCATTAAAAAAAAAAAAAAGATTTCCCTCACTAGTTTGATTGCTAGCTGACTTGTAAAAACTTCCTAGCTGAACCAGAAGGTGTTGTGTTCCATATAAAAAGTCATTTTTTTGACAGAAGTAGTTTGTTTTTTTTTTCCACTTCCAGGTTTCTGAAGGATTGTCATTTTTGCATAGCAGTGTGAAAATGGTTCATGGAAATGTTACTCCTGAAAATATAATTTTGAATAAAAGTGGAGCCTGGAAAATAATGGGTTTTGATTTTTGTGTGTCATCAAGCAATGCTTCTGAACAAGAGGTAATAATGGTTTTCATTTTTGGATTGTTTCAAATCATGGAAATCTATGATCACATCTGCAGTGGTAGTCTGGTAAAGTGTGAAACTTGGAAATGTGTACTGAGATGTCTGCTGTAGAGAAAACTCCTGGTGTTGGTTGTTCCTAAGAGTATTCTCTAAATGATTAATTCTGTAGATGTCTGGAACAAAACGTTGACTGAATTAAACAGAAATTTCTTCCTTAGAAACCCAAATATACAAACTGATGATGTGACTCTTAACACCATTGCCAACTGAGAGAATGTGGGTTTGTCCTTAGGGACCACAGGGGCAGTAATAGTGATTATGTGCTGACATAATGAGATTTTATTAATTTTAAAAATTGGTTGAATTTGTTGTTTGACGACTTCATACATGTATATATTATGCTCTCTTTAGTCTCACTCTCTTTTATTTTCTAAGGTCTTCCATGCACTTGCTTATTTAATACCTACAACAACTCAGTGTGGTGTGGGAACAGTAAGTTTAGGTAGGTGCCAAGTGTTCAGCTAGGATGTGAGCTCCATTTTCCTGCTCCCAAGCATTTGTTTCCCAGTGATTCAGGAAATCAGCATTGATTCTTAGAAATACTGCATTAGGCCAGCCATGCTTTGTGTTGATTGGTTCCTTATGACATGGAATGGCCATAGGGCACCAATTACAGCTCAGGTATTCGTTGCATGCATTTTCTGGATTTGATGATTTGGGTGTTTTAGAGTTAAATGTGGTGGTAGCATTTTCACTTGCTTGGCTATATACAAATTGTTGCTGTTTCTTATAATTTTTTTTTGAAACAGGGTCTGTACATAATCCTGATTGTCTTACAACTCATTGTGTAGATCAGGCTAGCCTGAACTTAGAGATATCAACCTGCCTCTGCCTCCTGAGTGCTGACTGTATCAATGCAGATTTAAAGATAGCTATAGCCTGTAGTGATTTGCTGTTACTTGACATTCTAACCTTGTCATCCTGTTTCTGTCTTCTTATAGCCTAAGTTTCCGTGTAAAGAGTGGGACCCAAACTTACCATCATTGTGTCTTCCAAATCCTGAATACTTGGCTCCTGAATACATCCTCTCTGTGAGCTGTGAGACAGCCAGTGATATGTACTCTTTCGGGACTGTCATATATGCTGTGTTTAATAAAGGGAAACCTATATTTGAAGTCAACAAGCAAGATATTTACAAGAGTTTCAGTAGACATTTGGATCAGGTATTTGCCTGGCAGAACTTGTTAGAATATCTTCTTGGCATCTTTTCTAAAATGTAGACAGAAAATTCTTCTTAAAAATAAATAGCTTTGTTAATTCTTCAAGAATTTCATATACATATGTATTTTTATCACATTCATCTCTTGCCTTTCCCTGAATCTTCCCGGATTTACCCCTTCTTCCCAACTGCCCATCCCAACTCATACTCCTTTTTAATAACCCATCAAGTTTAGTTTGTTCTGTCAAGAGTTGTGCTCATCCATTGGCATGTTCTAGACATGTCTTGGGCCACATCCTTAGGACAGAGCTCCCTTTGCCAGCAGCCAGCAGCTATCAATAGCTCCTCAGCAAGGGGTGAGGTCTTAGGAGTCCTTCTCCCATGTGCTGGAATGTTGACACTCTTGATCTTGTGGATTTTTTTGTAGGCAGTCACAACTGCAGAAATTTCCTAATAGAAATGAATACTTCATTTCAAGTTTGTGTAAAACCAGTTCAGTAAAGCTAACTTCTATAAAGATTACTAAAAGGTAGTTATTACAACTTTGATCACAGCGTTTACTAGAGTATCTAAAATACTGCCCATCTTACTTTAGAAATGGAAATACTTTTGAGTATTAAAGATGTTGTAATTATGTCGGGAAGAATAGTTGGTATTTGTACAGTTGCCAGATTCACTGTGTGGAAAAGGTTTGTAGCCTTTCTGAATGTTTAATACTCATACATATTTTTGCTCTTTTGAATAGCGGTATCGTTTAGGATCTAGTTCACTTACAAGTATACCTGAGGAAGTTCGTGAACATGTCAAACTGTTGCTGAATGTAACTCCAACTGTAAGGCCCGATGCAGACCAAATGACAAAAGTGAGTACATCTAGGTTTATTGGAACAAAAACTGAAAAAGAAAAAAGGCAAAAGAGAAGAAACTTATAATGCATAATTTTGTTCTTAGATGCTGTCTGTGTTCTTGAATGTATTAAAACTTCAGCATTTAACATTAAATACCTAAACAATTGATGTACATATTTGTGAAGAAAATTAAGGTTTCAAAATACCAGAGATCCTGATAGTCACAGTTAGGGAGGTAGGCATTTTGGATGCTCAGGAAAGTAAAGTGTTGGGGGCTGGAGAGATGGATCAGAGGTCAAGAGCACTGACTGCTTTTCAAGAGGTCCTGAGTTCAATTCCCAGTAAACACATGGTGGCTCACAGCCACCTGTAATGAGATCTGGTGACGTCTTCTGGCCTGCAGGCATACATACAGTCAGAACACTATACATAATAAATAAATAAATAAATAAATAAATAAATCTTAATAAAAAAGAAGTATTGTCTTTAGCTTGGTAGGTAGCTAGTGCTCATCATGCTTCCAAAGCATTTTATCCTTAAACATTTTATTTCTGTATTTTTAATGGTGTATTTGTGTGTGTCCATTGGAAGATACATGTGTATGAATGCAAAAGTAGCCCGGTGTTTATGCTGGGAAGGCAACACATGCTTTTAGTTGATGAACCGGTTCCAGTCCCAACTTTGAAGCTGCTTGAAAGTTTGAGGATTTTATACATAATGTCAATGCCAAGTTGGGTCACAGGCACTGAAGATTTGAAAATTTGAGTATGCCAGGCTGGTGATTTGAATTTGAAAAGTTAATTTCTTATTTGAAGTTTTCTAATTAGATTTTTAAATATAGTGTTTTGAATATTACCAAATGTTTTTGAATATTTTAAATATGAGCAATTTTAACTGAATTTCTATGAAAATAACTGCTTTCCATACTGTTAGATTCCCTTCTTTGATGATGTTGGTGCAGTCACACTTCAGTATTTTGATACCTTATTCCAAAGAAATAATCTTCAGAAATCACAGTTCTTCAAAGGATTGCCAAAGGTTCTACCAAAGCTGCCTAAGGTTTGTTATCAGTTTTTTTTTTTTTAATGTGGTCAAGAGATTTTTATTTAATTTTACTTTGACTTACTGTAAACTGCTCTTCCAAAGATATAAAACAAATTTACCTTAGGTACATAGATGACAGTAACATACTGAAAACTAAAGCCAAAACTTAGTTATGGTGCAAAATTAAATAGGATTTAAAATATTAGGATGCTGCGTGTGTTAAGGCTACCTGTGCTGGACATTATGTGTCCAAAAGGATGTCTGAGAACAGCCATGGTGGAGCTCACTGCCTCACCAGCAGTTAAGAGATGCATTGGTATTGGTGCAAACCTTCATAGTTCCTTTACTTTTTCTCTGACTTACTAAACAATGAATTCAGAATAGTGTTAAAGACAGTAATGAGGCCGGGTCTGGAAGCACATGCACATGTCCCAGCATCTGGGAGGCAGGGCAGTGGGTCTCTGAGTTCTAACATAGCCAGACTACATAGTGAGACCCCTTCTTAAGAACAAAAACAAGAATAGTCAATGAGTGCTAAAGAAACTACTATTTGTAAAACTATTGATTCCTGACTCTAAAGTCATTTCCAAAGCTTCAGCAATCACAGTCAGTGTTTGTCTACCACTTTCCTTAGGTGGTCTGGAGAGTGAATAGAAAACAGAAGTGGTGTCATTCCTTCCAAGGCCATTCCACTCAACAAAGACATGGTTGCCATCTATGAATTACCAGTTAGAAAGTCCGGATAATACTTTATCCTGATAGGATAGGTGGTAGAAACCGTAAGTAATGACAGGATTAAGAGGAGAAACGCTATCAGTGAACATTAGTTAGAGTTTTGCTAATGGTAGAATGATCATGTATCTTGTTTTACTTGGGACATTCTGAGCCTGTCCTATTTGTCTTGATGTAGCTGGCAACACAGTCTTACTTTTCTCTGAAAACCATTTCCATTTCACCCATGAACTTTATGGTCACTTTAAAGTTCTGAAATAATTTTTCCTTTCAGCGTGTCATCATGCAGAGAATTTTGCCTTGTTTGACTTCAGAATTTGTAAACCCAGATATGGTACCTTTTGTTCTGCCTAATGTTTTACTGATTGCCGAGGAATGCACCAAAGAAGAGTATGTTAAATTAATTCTGCCTGAACTTGGTCCTGTGTTTAAACAGCAGGAGCCAATCCAGGTATGTTGTGATAACATCTGAATGTTTATACAGTTACAATGATAACTACTCCCACTAAAAACAATTGAGCTTTTTAAAATTAAGTTGCTGGGTGTAGTGGTGGCACATGCCTTTAATCTCTGCACTGAGGAGGTAGAGGTAAGTGGATTTCTGTGAGTTTGAGGCCTGTTCTACAGAGTGAGTTCCAGGACAGCCAAAGCTATACAAAGAACTCCTGTGTCAACAAAACAAAACAAAGCAAAAATTGAGTAAGTAGGGGCTCAAGAAATGGGTTAGCACATGAGCACTGGCTGTCTCTTGGAGGACCTGGGCTCAGTTTCCAGCACCCACATGGTAGTTCACACCATCTGTAACTGCTGTCCTAGTGGATTGAAGGCTGCACTCCAGCAACCAGGCACAATAATTTTAAATGTTTGAAAAAACTTGAGGTAAGTATATTAGGTGTTTTTCTTCATTTCACAGAAAGCTACTTTGCATACATTTGAAGCATTGCCAAAGTTATGATTAAACTTAGCAAATGAATGTGGCTTTTTATAAATCAGTGACTTAGAAAAAAAATTGCAATCAAATTTTGTTTGTGTTTCATTATTCCTAATTGAAAGATAGCAGTTTGGAAAAATAATACTGTTATTTCTAGTTCCAGATATTTTAATTTGGTTTGCTTTTCTAGCAGTTAATTTGCAGAGATTTGTGTCAGTTGTTTCTCTTCATTTTTTTCTCTAATAAACTTTCATTAGAAGAGTGTAAAGCATTATGGGAATAATATATATGCATAATCTGTATTTATGTGAAATGCAAATTCTGTGTGTAATGTGCATATGTAAGTGAAATAAACTATATAGTTTTGTTAGAGTTTGTATTTGTCAGAAACAAGGGTGTCTTGCATTTAAGAACAGTGGGTCTGTTCCTGGATTTGAGTCTGGGTCTTGTCTCCTTTCCAGACCTATGTACTAGTCATTACCTTCTGAAAACTTGCAAGCCTCCTTTTTTTCCTTTATCTGAATTTGTGTGTGTGTGTGTGTGTGTGTGTGTGTGTGTGTGTTTTATAGGTCAATCACAGTTCTCTCTCCCTCCCCTCCCCCACTGACCCCGTATCCCATCCCCTTTCTGCTCCCCAGGGAGGTTGAGAACTTCCATGAGGGATCTTCAAAGTTTGTCATAGCATTTGGAGCAGGGCCTAGCGGTGCCCCCCCCCCCCTTATCTAGGCTGAGATCGTATCCCTCTATGTGGAGTGGGCTACCAAAGTCCATTCATATACTAGGAATGAATACTGATCTAATACCATAGACTGCCCAGGCCTTTTAACTGACATCCATGTTCAGAGGGTTTGGATCAGTCCTACACTGGTTTCCCAGCTATCAGTCCATGAGCTCCCCCTTGTTCAGGTCAGGTGTTTCTGTGGGTTTCCCAGCCTGGTCTTGACCCCTTTTGTTCTTCACTCCTCCCTCTCTGCAACTGGATTCCAGGAGTTTGCCTCAGTGTTTAGCTGTGGGTGTCTGCTTCTGCTTCCATGAAGGCTCTAGGGTGGCATATAAGGTAGTCATCCATCTCATTATCCGGGAAGGGGATTTACAGTAGCCTCTCCACTATTGCTTAGATTCTTAGTTGGGGTCATCCTTGTAGATCTCTGAACATTTCCCTATTGCTAGATTTCTCTTTAAACTTGTAATGGCTCCTCTATTATGGTATCTCTTTTCTTGCTCTCCTCTATTCTTCCCCCATCTCAGTCTTCCTGCTCCCTCATGTCCTCCTCTCCCCTCCTCTTCTCCCCTTCTTTCTCCTAGCTCCTTCTCCCCTCCCCCCTGTTCCCAATTAGCTCAGGAGATCTTGTCACTTTCCCCTTCTCCGGGGGACCATGTGTGTTTCTTTTAAAGTCCTCCTAGCTTCTCTGGAGGTGAGGATTGTATTCTGGTTATCCTTTGCTCTAGATCTCAAATTCATATATGAGTACATACCATGTTTGTCTTTTTGAAACTGGGTTACCTCACTCAGGATGGTTTCTTCTAGTTCCATCCATTTGCCTGTGAATTTCAAGATTGTTTTTTTTCTGCTGAGTAGTACTCCATTGTGTAAATATACCGCATTTTCTTTATGTATTCTTCAGTTGAGGGGCATCTAGGTTGCTTCCAGGTTCTGTCTATTACATATAGTGTTGCTATGAACATCACTGAACAGATGTCCTTGTTGTATGAATGTGCTTCTTTTAGATATATGCCTAAGAGTGGAATTGCTGGATCTTGTGGTAGACTGATTCCTATTTTCCTGAGAAATCTCCATACTGGTTTCCAAAGTGGCTGTATGAGTTTGCACTCCCATCACCAGTGGAGGAATGATCCCCTTTCTCACACCTCTGCAACATAAACTGTCATTAGTGCTTTTGATTTTAGCCATTCTGACAGGAGCAAGATGGTATCTCAGAGTTGTTTTGATTTGCATTTCCCTGATGGCTAAGGATGTTGAGCACTTTCATATGTGTCTTTCAGCCATTTTAGATTCCTCTATTGAGAATTCTATTCGGTGTTCTGTAAGTTTTCTTGTACTTTCATTCGCATGTCTTTCTGTAGGTTGGGAAAGTTTTCTTCTATGATTTTGTTGAATATGTTTTCTGCCCCTTCGAGGTGGGTTTCTTCACCCTCTTCTAAACCTATTATTCTTAGGTTTGGTCTTTTCACGGTGTCCCATATTTCCTGGATATTTTGTGTTAGGGATCTTTTGGACTTAACATTTTTTTTTGGTTGGTGAGTCTATTTCTTGTAGTGTATCTTTAGCACCTGAGATTCTCTCTTCCATCTCTTGTATTCTGTTGGTTATGCTTGCATCTGTTGTTCCTGATCATTTGCCCAGCTTTTCTATTTCCAGCATTCCATCAGACTTTTTTTTTTATTGTCTCTATTTCAGCCTTCAAGCCCTGCACTGTTTGAATTGTTTCCTTCATTTTGTTTTCTTGGCTTTCCTTGTTTTCTTTAAGAGATTTGTTTATTTCTTTCAATTTTTGGCTTGTCTTTTCTTCCATTTCTTTAATTTTTTTCTTTTTTCTTCCATTTTTTCCCCCTCATTTCCACTTTCGGGTTTCTACCATCTTCATGCGGTTGTTTTTAGGGTCATTCTCTTCTGCTTCATCTGGGTTGGAATATTCAGGTCTTGCTGGTGTGGAGTCCCTAGACTCTGGTGGCGTCATATTGATTTTTCTGTTGTTCAATGTGTTCTTTCACTGTTGTCTTCCCATCCCATCTTTTATTGGGTCCCTCTGCTGGTAGGTACTGGTCCATGGTTCTCTTCCATTGGGTGCACCTAGGTCCAATACTCTGATGGCTTTTCTCTTCACCATGGTTGGATGGGGGACTAGCACTGGGAAAGTGGCAGACTCTGGATACTCTGCATGGGCTGGTTTGCAAGGATGGGTACCTCTCCCCCACTCCCCACAGTTCCCAGACCTCAGGAGGCTCTGAGCAGGGCATCTGAAGGAGGGCCAGAAATAGTGCAAACCTCACTTCTAAAATGCAGAGTTGGCATAGACTAAATATTACAAGGTGTTTCTGGTACTGGGTGACAGTAGCTTAGTAGTCAGCTACTAACAGTCTGATATAGTAATGGATTTGTGATTTTTTTGTAGTTCTTCCCTTGACAGTGCAGCTTTTATTTTATAATTTTAAAAAATGAGCACATAAGTGTTAAATATCACGATGTCATCTTTAAACACCTTGCATTTAGTGATTCTCTTCCTCATCCATCCCCTTGCTATTGCTAGTACCCACTCTCCTCTTTTTGAGACAGTGTTGCACCATGTAGCTCTGACTCGCTTGGCACTCACTATGTAGCCCAGGCTAACCTCAAAAATCACAAAAGTTCACCTGGCTTTCCACTTCTGTGTCCTGAGTTTAGGGACTTAAGGCCTGTGCCATCAGCCTGCTGCCAATTCTCTTGGCTCTTTCCCCAGTTTCTGTTCCTTAAAGAGGTCATTAGAAGGCAGTCTGTGGGGGTGTTCCTACTAACCAGGGAAGGGTCTCAGGACAGAGCCATATGATTTAAAGCAGGGCTTCCTGGCAGATGTCACAGTGTCCAGAGGAAAAGATGATGACATCAAATTACGTAGATTGTTCATGAGTCATAAAATCCAAGACATATGATTTCAGTTCCCATTTGACCTTGTTCTTTTTATGATGGTAAATTTTGATTGTTGGCCAGATACTATGCTGAATCTCCTGAGGAGAGACTTTCATTGTGTCATTGTCCAGATCAGGTTATTCTGTGGCATGCTTGTGAGGGCTTCTTTTAAGAACATGAGGTGAGGTGGGAAGACCTGCCCTGATGTGGGCAACAAGAACATTTCATGGTCTGTGTCCTGTGCTCTGTGCTGAGTGAAAAGGAGAGAGTATTCTTTTTTCCTCTGTTTTCAATTAATAAGCCCTCTTGAAAGTTTTTAATTGAGCATTGGCAAAACTAAGTATTCTGAGGCTTGGAGAGGAGGCTCAGAAGCTGAGAACAGCTGTTCTTTAGAGGACCTGGGTTTGATTCCCAGCACTAACAAGACAACCCACAGTCATCATTGACTCTATTACCGCTTTCTGACCTCCCTGTAGACACAGACATATTTGCAGGCAAAATAGTCACACACATACAAAATCTCACCTAAGTATTTTGGTTTGTTTATTACAATTTATGTATGTAAAGACAGCTAGGAAAAACTATTAGGAACAATAAAAATGTTTATTCCTAGAATTTGTCCTTACAAAACTTATTTCTTTACTTTCATAGAAACTGAATGACATTTCTCCTTTTGAGACATCTAACTTTGACTCTCTTTGGCTTTTATTTTTGAAACCCAGTAGTTTTCTGGATAGTAGGGACTTGTAGTGGAGTCATGTGTTACTGTAGACATGTTGGAGGTTAGTCTGGAAACAGTTGTTAAGTGCTGCACTTATAGAAGTGTAAGAGACTTTATGTGTATATTTTTGTCTTCCATGCCTTCAGGCTAGCAACATGGTGTGTCAAAATACACAAATTATTCTTCAGAAAATACTATATTTTGGTATATATTGAATTTCTTGAAAATTGTAGATTTCAATACATCTTCCCTCTCCTCACACAGATTTTGTTAATTTTCCTACAAAAAATGGATTTGCTCCTAACCAAAACCCCTCCTGATGAGATAAAGAACAGTGTGCTACCCATGGTCTACAGAGCCTTGGAGGCTCCTTCCTTTGAGATCCAGGTACAGTGTCTGGCTTGTTTTTCCTTCATGATGGTCTTAAGGTAGGAGAAAGAAAGCAGGGAATATTACAGAATTATATCTTAACATTGTATGTGCACTCAATAGTTAATATATTTATCGCATTACCTTACTGGTTCACTGTTATCACTATATATTGACTTCTAACTAAAGAATTGGAGGGGGCTAGAGGGATGGCTCAGAGGTTAGGAGTAAGTTTTTGTTTGTTTGGAAATGGTCTTATTGTGTAGCTTAGGCTGAAGTTTTTCCCAGAGCTTCAAGTTCCTGACTGCTAAGTGGTAGGATTCATGATGTATGCCCTCCCAGGACACCTGGTAGGTATTGCTTTTACAGAGAACACAAGTTAGATTCCCAGCACCTGTGTCCGGCTGCTCACAATGGCTTATAACTCAAGCTCCCGAGGATCCAATACCTTGTTCTGGACTCCCCTGGCACCTACATTCACAAAGGCACAAAGTCACCTCCAGGCACACATACATGGAATTTAAAAAACAAAAAAGGGGGAAGCTAGAGTCCAGCGTGATAGCATAATACTTGTAATCCCAGCACTGGGGTGTAGAGTCAGGAAGACCAGGAATTCAAGGCTTGCCTGGGGTATACATGATACCCTATCTCCAAAACACTATGGCTAGCATTGTAGGTTTGTACTGCCTTGCACACATCTGCTTCTACCATGTATTTCAAGTCACATTTTTGAGGCATTTCTATCTTTTTTTAAGTTTATTTAAGAGAGTGAGGTTGATTTTTTTCCCCTTGTAATCATGGCACAAGTGGAAGGTGTACTCATTTCTACTTTTCAACTCTCCTGAGTTACAGCCCTGTACAAATAAGGATGTGGGCCTGTAATCCCAGTACATAGGTTAAAGTAGGAGGGTTGCAGACTGAAGCCAGCCTGGCCTACATAAAGTCCATGCCTCAGGGGAAAATAGTACAGAACTAGTTGTAATTATAGCTTCTCGGAACACTAACACAGGCCCTGTGTAGCCACTCCATTTTTCAGATGATCATAACTATGATTTTTCATGTTCAAAAAAAAGTGTTGTAAGGACCAAATAACACAAAGCATATGAAAGTTTATTTTATACTGTAACAAGTTAGCTGAGTGTGTCAGAGGAAGGTGGACTGCTTTTCCTTGAGACTGACCAGATTTATTTTTTCAATAGGAGCTCTGTCTAAACATCATCCCAACTTTTGCAAATATTATAGACTATCCATCCATGAAAAATGCTTTGATTCCAAGAATTAAAAATGCCTGTTTACAAACATCTTCCCTTGCTGTAAGTAGTTATACATTCATATTTGCCTTTAAGTGCTCAATGGTTGATATCATTTTCCCACTGAATAATAACCAGCTTATGGTTTATTTATGGAGTTTGTCTTAGTTTTAGGTAACCTATATAGAGTATTATGAATTTTTTCATATAACTTGGTTTTACATGTATTTGCTGTATGTATGTGTGAGATCATGCTTGTTTGCACATGTTTGAGTGCCGTAGTGAGCATGTGGAAGTCAGGACTGTTTGTGGGAGTTGGTTCTCTCCTTGCACTGTGTGGTTCCAGGGGTCAAACTCACACGGTCAGTTTGGCAGCTCTTTTACCTGCTGAACCCTCTTTTATATTTCCTAG